AGATAGATGATATACAGATAGATAGATCGATGATATATAGATAGATGATATACAGATAGATAGATCGATGATATATAGATAGATGATATACAGATAGATAGACAGATAGATGATATATAGATAGATAGATAAATAGACGATAGATAGATAGATGATAGACATAGATAGATAGACGATAGATAGATATATAGATAGATAGATAGATGATAGACAGATAGATAGACAATAGATAGATAGACGATATATAGACAGATAGATGATAGACAGATAGATAGATGATATATAGATAGATAGATAAATAGACGATAGATAGATGATAGATAGATAGATGATAGACATAGATAGATGATATATAGATAGATAGATGATATATAGATAGATAGATGATAGACAGATAGATAGATAGACGATATATAGACAGATAGATGATATATAGATAGACGATATACATATAGATAGACAGACAGACAGATAGATAGATGATATATAGACAGACAGATAGATGATATATAGATAGATAGATGATAGACAGATAGATAGATAGACGATAGATAGATGATATATAGATAGACGATATATAGACAGATAGATGATATATAGATAGATAGATAGACGATATACATATAGATAGACAGACAGATAGATAGACGATATATAGACAGACAGACAGATAGATAGACGATATATAGATAGATAGATAGATAGATAGACAGACAGACAGACAGACAGACATATAGATAGATAGATAGATATATAGATGATAGATAGACAGATAGATGATATATAGATAGATATTTAGACGATATACATATAGATAGACAGATAGACAGACAGACAGATACAGTGGGGGAAAAAAGTATTTAGTCAGCCACCCATTGTGCAAGTTCTCCCACTTAAAAAGATGAGAGAGGCCTGTAATTTTCATCATAGGTATACCTCAACTATGAGAGACAAAATGAGAAAAAAAAAATCCAGAAAATCACATTGTAGGATTTTTAAAGAATTGATTTGCAAATTATGGTGGAAAATAAGTATTTGGTCAATAACAATTTCATCTCAATACTTTGTTATATACCCTTTGTTGGCAATGACAGAGGTCAAACGTTTGATATATAGATAGACAGACAGACAGATAGATAGATAGACAGATAGATAGATAGATAGACAGATAGATGATAGATAGACAGATAGATGATAGATAGACAGATAGATGATAGATAGACAGATAGATGATAGATAGACAGATAGATGATAGATAGACAGATAGATGATAGATAGACAGATAGATGATAGATAGACAGATAGATGATAGATAGACAGATAGATGATAGATAGACAGATAGATGATAGATAGACAGATAGATGATAGATAGACAGATAGATGATAGATAGACAGATAGATGATAGATAGACAGATAGATGATAGATAGACAGATAGATGATAGATAGACAGATAGATGATAGATAGACAGATAGATGATAGATAGACAGATAGATGATAGATAGACAGATAGATGATAGATAGACAGATAGATGATAGATAGACAGATAGATGATAGATAGACAGATAGATGATAGATAGACAGATAGATGATAGATAGACAGATAGATGATAGATAGACAGATAGATGATAGATAGACAGATAGATGATAGATAGACAGATAGATGATAGATAGACAGATAGATGATAGATAGACAGATAGATGATAGATAGACAGATAGATGATAGATAGACAGATAGATGATAGATAGACAGATAGATGATAGATAGACAGATAGATGATAGATAGACAGATAGATGATAGATAGACAGATAGATGATAGATAGACAGATAGATGATAGATAGACAGATAGATGATAGATAGACAGATAGATGATAGATAGACAGATAGATGATAGATAGACAGATAGATGATAGATAGACAGATAGATGATAGATAGACAGATAGATGATAGATAGACAGATAGATGATAGATAGACAGATAGATGATAGATAGACAGATAGATGATAGATAGACAGATAGATGATAGATAGATAGATAGACAGACAGATAGATAGACGATATATAGACAGATAGATGATATATAGATAGATAGATAGACGATATACAGATAGATAGACAGATAGATAGATGATATATAGACAGACAGACAGATAGACGATATATAGATAGATAGACAGACAGACAGACAGACAGACAGACAGACAGATAGATAGATAGTTAGACAGACAGACAGATAGATAGATAGATAGATAGATAAATAGATAGATAAATAGATAATTACAACCAATCAAATTCTCCTTTACAATTTGAATTTTGCAGATGACAGTCCATAACCCTTTATTATTTTGCAACTTCTTATTCTGCCTCATCTTTGTGAATGTTTTAGCTTTATTCTTTTAAATATAAAGAGAGAAACAAATGAAAAACACAGACAGACAGACAGACAGACAGATAGACAGACAGACAGACAGACAGACGAATACAACTGAATAACAAAAAGTAATCGCTACATACGTCTACACAATACACAATTGAAATGGTACACATAAATATTGCTAAGGGTGATTTTGTTCACAAACAGATTGTATCGGTTTATTTATTGTATGTATGTATGTATTTATGTGTGATGAGAGCATAAGGTGCAGTAGTGGTGAACAGGGGGTGCTCCTGCTCCTCTACAGTTAAACACTTGTCCTGTAGGTGTAGCCCATCTGGTTAGGCGCTCTTACGGGCGACTTCTCGCGGAGCTGTTTCCAGCACGGAGGTCCACAGGCCAGAAGCCAGACCGCGGAGCCGAGCGAGAAGAGGTTCGGCTGGACTGAAGTGAGCTTCGGCGGACACATGAGAGCACTCGCGTGAGTCCCGACACTCCAGCGCCGCAGACGCAGACATGTTCACGCGCGGGGCGAGGAAGCGACGCTCCAGTCGCTCGGTAAGTCGCTCTCATGTCGTGGCATCCCGCTTTTATCCCAATATGAAGGCATTTGATCCTTTACTAAAGTCTGTCCTCGGCTCTTTGAACGAACACAGCGTGGTTTGAAGTTTTAAAGCTCATGTTAAACCTATCATGTTGTGTTGATGATCGAAAGTTACTTTAGTGTCTCGCACTTATTTCACCTGAGGAGACTGTTTTCAGCTCTAGCTAAAGGCACGGAATAGACATATTAAAACTGGCACTCCTATATTTAATTTTACTCGTATCAGTAGTGCGTTTTGGGTGCAACACGTATACTTGGCAATCATTATTTACTCCTAACCATTAATGGGGCATTTTTCGTGGTCTTGATAATTATTGTATTGAGGAGGCGTGGCTTATGTGTGCCTACGTCACCCTTACCTGTACACATGACGCCATCGTTTATTGATAGCATTTCATATTAAATATATAAATGAGTATTAAAGATTATTATAATGTCGATTTGTTACACTGAATTCATTTTACAAAACAAAAGACAAAAAGAAATGATATGCATAGTTTATATCTAAAATAAAAAATAAGGTTTAATGCAAAATAATTACTTTTGGTTAAAGTACAAACCAAAAGGAATATGACCATTAAAAAAAATCAACATAAATAGCTTTTTTTTTCTTCTCAAAACGGTCACATTCTACAGTTTTAAGAATATTAAAAAAGTTTTCATTTATACTTTTAGTCCTGAAATGCACAGTACATCTGCATGCTTCATATTATGTTTCGCCTTGTATGTATTTTCCTTCCTGAAGGAAGCGCTTTCTATTGAGGAAATGTTCCTCAGATATCTGGAAAGGGAAGCCAGGGATGCAAGTGGACAAAAAGTAAACACAACTTAAACACCAGGACATGGTTATATTCACTAAAGATGTGAATTGGATTAGATTATTTTGAATGGATTAGAAAGCGGCTCTATGTAATGTGTTGATTCAGATGTTTACCAGATGGTCTTAATCTTGTAGTCATGAGTATACAAATGAAATGAATGGAGATAATTTGATATTGTCCTTTTAATTTTGACCAGGAGACACAGGCAAGTGTCTTGACATATGAGAACAGACAGGTGACCCTTTGACATTCAGATTTTGTATGTGCTATACTAACTATTATCCAGAAAGTCCTACTGTGCTACTGTAACTCAGCACGAGTAAACAATGATGGTGGGCCTTTTAAAAAGTGTTTTTGAGCTTCTGACCTCTCGTAACTGTTGTCATGGTCACAATCGAGAGGAGATTTCCCCTGAGGGTGTGGACAGGAAGACACCCCGAGGGCATCCTGTCTCACCGTCACAGACGGGACACAAAGGTGGCTCGGACACCAGTTTTCTACATAAAACCTTCGAGTCATAGTTGTTTATTCACATACACTGTGGCTGTGCATGTCATAAATTCGTCACAATCGAGAGGAGATTTCCCCTGAGGGTGTGGACAGGAAGACACCCCGAGGGCATCCTGTCTCACCGTCACAGACGGGACACAAAGGTGGCTCGGACACCAGTTTTCTACATAAAACCTTCGAGTCATAGTTGTTTATTCACATACACTGTGGCTGTGCATGTCATAAATTCATTTGTTTATGCTCTTTCACACAATCTTTACTATGCAGACATATCCACACATTAATCTGCTAAATAACCGATGAGAGATAACTCTGCTAATATGACCACTGCTTATCAAGTAAAATGAAAGTAGTTTTTGTACATTTTGTTGCCTTCCTTACTTGCTTTACTCTTTACATTTTTTACATTCTGTACTTCCTTTACTTGCATTTTTATTTACATTGCTTTCTGCACCTTTTTTGTAATTTAGGCCTACTTTACTTACTAGAGCCCGAACGATGTGTGTTTTTTGGGGCCGATACCGATATTTGGGAGTAAAAAAAGGCCGATATCGATATATCGGCCGATATTCTGTTTGTATATTATAGTACAGTACCAGTCAAAAGTTTGGACACTTTCCCATTCGTGTGTCCAAACATTTGACTGGTACTATATATAGAATACAGTATATACATAAACAGAATATATATATATATACATAAACAAATTTTTTGCAATGATCACTCAAATGTGGTGATCAAACACTTATAATGACGTGACAAAGATATGTAATGGAGGCAGGACATTTAACAATAAACTTCAAAATGAGTCTGACATCAGTGCATTGAACAGTAAAGTTGAAGTTTATTCAACTTTAATTCAATTAAATTCCATTCAACTTTATTCCGTTGAAGTTTATTTCACTTCGGAACATTCATTCACGGATTTACGCTACTGTCTTCACACACAGACAGAACTTACTAGAAAAGTGGGAATTGTGACATAATATACCTCTGTAAATAAATACAATATAAATTCACGTCTCGCGCACTTTAATGCCCTTTGAATGCAACGTGTACATTTCCTTGTAATCATGGTGGAATTTCATGTGAAGTCCACTTCGCGGGGCACTTACTGTCGAATAAGCCAAAGCTTGAATGCTGCCTGAACAAGTCCTTACTGAAGTGAAAGTGTTGACTGGTGTCA